GACCCTGCAAACAGCAGTTTGTTTATCTGACCCTTTTCTATTTCAAGAAGTTCGGTCAGAGTTGGAGGTCATTCTCCGTGTAGCAGCAGCAGACAGCTGGTACTATTAAAAAAATGAAACACCATGCTTCTATATTAATAAATAAGGAAACACTGAGTCTGTGTTGTAGAATAAAGGTGCTCACACCAAATATTCACTTGTAAACTGTTTCTGCTTCATATCCTGCATTTCTATATATGCTTGCACATGTTTCAATAAATCACTGCACATATGTCTCATTTTCTAACAAAATGTAACTGTTAGTACTTTTCTTTTGTTTGTTTTACATATAATTTAATATCTTTTTATCTATTTACTTTTAATTATAATTCTGAACAGTAGGATCCACAGTGTAGAGCAGCTCAGCAGTATTGTGGCGAACACATGCAAATCTCCAGGTTCGAGACTGGGAGGAGAGAGCAATCCTTGGCGAGGGTTGAGTCGTGGAGGCCATCTGCTGTAAATCAAACATGCGGATCCATCTGCTCGAGCAGCCGTCTGAGAAAAAGGGAGCAGGCAAGCAAAGCATACTCGTAGATGTGGTTGTTGTTCAGGTAATAAAGTAGAAATGACACATAGATTTGTGTGAAATTTTCATACACACTACCGAGATTTAGGCCCAGCGTTACATGTGAACATACGGGCAGATGCTTCGCTCTCCTGCAGTCTGTGCTGCAGGATGCAGGTCAGCTTGACTGACGGGCTGAGTGAGCGACTGTGAGTGTGTGTGTGTGTGTGTGTGTGTGTGTGTGTGTGTGTGTGTGTGTGCCTCTGCAGGCTCCTTTCTATCCATCTCTAACCAGCAAGCAAACCAGTCACATTCATGTGTGTTTGGGACATAAATATCAGTCCAATCATGTAGCAGCACAGGTGTTAAAGGACTAGCTGACACTTTTGCTTCATCATTTCCGTGCAGTATTTAAGCATTTAAATAATTTGAATAAACTGATGATTAAATCAATCCCAACCAATGCGCACAGATATTAATTTTACATTATTCGGTTAATTTGATCCTGTTGTTGGTCTTATTTTGATGCCTACACCCTATTTTTAATCACACAGGTAGTTTAAATTACCAGTCCAGCAGAAAGGCGGCCAGTTCAGCGTCAGTCTGGAAGCATCTGTCCCTCTTCAGTGCAGCCCACCTGGAGTAAGCAAGCCCGAGATCTACCCTGGTGCTTCCCTGAGGCGTCCTTTCCAGGATTAGTTTTGCGTCTTTGTATTTTCGCTGCTCTGACGGTGAGGTCTGCAGCTCCATCGCTTTTCTTCCTCTTAAAAATGATTCTTCATCCTCAGTTTGTTTTCCAGGCTTCGGCTTTCCAAACAAAGCGATTATCCAGCTCCAGCGGCGGTTCTACAGGGACAACACAACCCCTCCATCAGGAGGGTCCACACGAACACAGAGCCGACCTTTCTTTGATGATCAACCCGATTGGTATTTTGTTCCCCCTAGCAACACCGGAGAACCAGCAGAAGGTTCCTACCTAGTGTCTGCTGGCGAAACGGTTTCCTCAGTGGGATGCATGAGGATGCACATCAAAAAGACGATGGTGAGAGGAATGTTTTCATGGGTCAAGTACAGTTCAGGGGGCCCGGTGGCGCCAGTGTCCGGCAGCCTCGCCTCTGTCAGTGCCCCAGGGCAGCAATGTAGCTGCCATCACCAGTGTGTGAATGAATGTAGTGTAAAGCGCTTTGGGGTCCTTAGCGACTAAGTAAAGCGCTATACAAAAGCAGGCCATTTACCATTTACTGTACAACACATTTGTAGAATAATATTTTATGTATTTGTATGTAGTGGATACAGAATACATTATGTCGCTTCAATATATCGAGTAGTATGACATGGGACTACTTAAGCACACACAGCACATGTGTTCTAATTGTGGTTTAATATTGTGCGTGATTAAAGGTTTAAAGGTATTAAAGGTAAAGTTTTTTTTAATGTAAAAAACAACAACAAGACATTACACAGGGACAAAGCATTTTAACGTCCACATTAAGAACAATAAAAACGCAAATACAGTTATTAACATACAATAAACACACATGGTTATATAACACATGTGGTTATTTGTCTTTTATATACAGTATAACGCACTGTGTGAAATGTGCACAGCGCACAAAAAAATACAAGAACACATTTAAGATGCATAATGTAAAAAAAAAAACAATTATTGTTTTACTTTTGCTGCATCCTTAGCTGTTTAATAAAACGGTTTATCTTAAATCGTAATTTATTTTCACAGTCATTACTTTTAAAAATTTATTTTCTTTATTAAAGAATAAAAACACCCCAAAAGAAGCAGTTTTCTTTCTTCAAAATACAAATTTGAGCATTAAAAACAAAACAATCCGGTGGATACTATTTTTAATCTTAAATATTCAAATCTTCCTCTGAAGATGTGTCCTGTAACAGGTCTGTGCATGTAACTATACTGAGCATCCATTTCATAAAATTAGATATAATGAAGCACTGTTTATGAAGTATGCAGTTCCTCTTCTACCCACTTTTTTTATTTAAACTTGTTTCCAAATGTTGGAATACAACATGTAAATAAAATTAGAATGAGGCCATTTGCAAAGAGTTTAAAGCCTCAAAACTTGAACTAGTTCAAAAACAAAACACATTAAATGTTGATATCAGTAACATTGCTTTTTGAAAATGTTTACATTGTTTCAAAACAGCTGGGGGGAAAGGAGGCATTACCTCTTCTATTGAAAGGTATCATGTGGAGTTTTTGTCAACTCCATACAGCAGCTCCTAACAAACAAACAAAGCCATTAAAGAAGAAGACTGGTGACTACAAAACACAGGTCAAGTATTTAATGTTGTTTTATGACAGAAAATGCATTCAACAACATGACATACACATTTTGAATTTTTGCTTCATAAAGAATTTTAGTTGCTCAACAGTTAAGAATTTAAATGGGTCTAGTTTACATTTCATCATCACAAAAAGAAGACAGACGTAAATGTTTCAAGAAACAAAGAAATGAAACAGATCTATCTAAATGAACATTACAAGGGACAGCAAACTGAGAAATAAACACAAAAAGCAAATACAAGAGAAATATCAACTGGTCACATTTTACGTGTTAATTCATGCCTACTTTTATTTTAGCACTCTTTGTTTTAAAGGCAAATTAAGTTGTTTGTTTTAGTCTTTTATTTATTTTTTGTTGGGAGCTCTGGTCCTCCACAGTCATAATCATACTCTTTGACATTACACATACATGACTGATTACCCAGTTGCTAACAAATACATTCAGTCAGCTGGAGGAATTACACTGCTTTTGCCATTTAAATTACAATGCTCATGAAAAATCTTGAAAATGAAAAAAAAAACGTCATCAAAATTTTATAAACTAAAATTTAAAAACATTGAAATACACCACTGAATTAATCTGATATCGAGTTCTGCTCACTAAACTATGTCGTTCAGAGTTTAAAACTGTTCCCAGGTGAACCTGATGCCCAAAATAAGCACTGGTTCAGCAGATACATCCAACATACTGGTACTGGTAAAGCTTTACCTAAGGTGCTGCTGATTTATATCCATAATGAAACAAGTATTGCATTTTTATTCAACTTTATTAAAGATCCCACTCACTGTGTTCGGTTTAGCCCAAAACAGCTGCTGCCTTCTGCAGAAATCAAACCTGAGGGTTTTCTGCCAGAAAGGCTTTCTAATATGTCGAGTTTGTGTTTTAATATTCCTTCTTAAATTGTGTCTTCGGTGGTTGACAATGCAGATAAGCACGAGTGCTGCTGATAAATTAATGCTTCAGTCACACAGGTGTAGAGACCTGTGGGCAGCCCCAAATACTCATGACCTCCAGCAACCACTAAATCAAGTGAAGTTCATATTTTCATTTGCTAGGTGGTTGGCGACTGGTTGTGCAACTGAATCGACTCAGATTGGTTGCTGGTTGTGGACCTCCCCTACCAATTGGCAGGTAACTACTCTTCAGTGATCAGCACCTGGTGGGTGGGAGATCAACCCAGACTGGGTATATGTAGCAGGATCCTCAGAGCAACTCCAGTCCTACTCACCTTGCCGGACAATTCAGATCTCATTATGTCTCTTTACTCTCCATCCTTAATGTAGTGATGGCTGTCCTCAGGCATTGGTAACATGCTGAATTCAGTAGTTCAATAAGAAAACTTGATGGCAGAATTGGAGAGGGTTGTCTTTGTTTAATCCCTGAGAATTAAGTCTGCCATGTACCACATGCTTCTGCAGATCGTCTGCCTGACAAAGACATCTTCTAACTGCAGCTGTCCTTTTAACCTGGCATCAAAATGGCACCGACCTCCCAGTACCTGGTGACTACCAGCAGCTAACGCACTCTAGTCTTCTGTCTGTGGTTAGTATAGCGCCATTTCTGGTGTTGTTCTGTGGTGCCACTGTAGACACCCTGAAGATGGTGTCACGTCTATGCCAGGCACCCTTGACAGTTGACAGGAGGTGAGTAAGAAGTTTGGCACTTGATGGAGTGCGGAGTACTGACAGTCAATGCTTGACAGTTCACCAGAGAATCCTTAGCTACCAACTTTCGTCAAGCATAAATATAGTGGAAAACAAAAAAGAGATACTTGGCCACAGCTTCTGTTGTCTCTCCACAGAACTTCAACAAATGCCAAATGCCATCAGTTTGATTGTGTCCGCATGTGTCTAAATGTTGTGTTCAGTCCTGGATCATGAGGAAAATGCCAAACACATTATCCCCAAAGCCTGGAGAGACGAGGCAGTCATGCAAGATATTCGTAGCAGGAAGTCATGATGACAAAAGGCAGCGAGTCTACCTGAAGCATGACTATAACACTGCTGGAGCTCTAACCTGGTAGGCTAACTTTTGGCTGTGGAGAGATTTGAATGAATAAGGCAATTATTTTTAGCTTTTTTGGTATCCCTATATCCCAGTGTAATAAATACAAAATACAAGATAGTTCACTCACATGAAAAGAAATTGAAATTTTAATTTCAAATTTAGAATATAAGAATTTAAAGGTCACAATGGTCCATGTATAAAGTACAATATAATGAGAAACATCTGCTTTTTCTATTTTTCAAGTTTACACATAACACCGACAAGAAACTGAGACTCTCCGCCTCAAAGTAAAATTTGCGCCAATTAAAATGTCTTGCAGCTGTAAGGCACAAGTTTTACTACTGTGATACAAGGAATCAAGAAGTAAGTACCAGTGAAACATGATTGTTTATTAACATAAACACTCAACTATGATCAGTAAATAAATTGTGAAATAATTCACAAATTCAATAAAAAAATTAATTTGCTGGGACAGAGGCTACTGGGGCGGTGCTGGCCGGGACTGGAAATAGGAACTACTGAGCAGAGTGCTGCTCGGGCCTGGAATCGACTCCATGGAGCCCGGAGGGAGGAGGACTGGAACTGCGGACTGCTGCCGCTGCTGACGGGCAGTACGGAAACGAATAAGCATCCCCATAGTCTCCTGCTGAAACATTGACCACTGTTCCTCTGTGAGCATGCCCACCTCGGTGCTCAGGTATTGACAGTACATGACTCGGTTGTTGCTCAACCCCCCAACGGCTGCCTGCAGGGACTCCATAGCTACCTGCAGGGACCTCATAGCCGTCTGCAGTGAGGACATGCTGTTTGGGATTTGAAGAACTGCCTTGTTGACGCAGCGGCTGGCGAGCTTGGCCTTCTTGCCCTTTAACTTTGGGGTTTGACTGGAGGGAACAGGAGACGGAGACCCAGGACGACTTGATGACCTCGCAGGCTCTTCGTCTCCTTCTTCTTCTTCCTCTTCCTCCTCCTCCTCTTCCACTCCGGTATTGGTGGACTGTGCCCCTTGAAGCTTTTTAAACACAAGCAAACAAACATTAACATAAATATCAAATGCATACAAGGCAAGTGCAGACATTTTATAGCACATTTACTTTTGCTTAACTACTTCCCCTGAAACGCCATTAAACAGAGCAGCTACAAGGGAGAAAAAAACAAACAAACAAAAGGGCATATTACTCTACCTTTCCCAGGCTGCTCCGGCGGATGGTCATGTGCTTGTCCAAGAATTTGAACATATCTGAAGTCCACCGCTGCCTGGCTGTCAGTGGTCGTGTTGCTTGCTCATTCTTCTTCTTCCTTAGTTTACCATAGACGGTCCGCATGTTGCGGAACCACCCCCAGAGGAAGTTCCCTGAGCACAGTCGAAAAAAAAAAACACAAACATAAATGTCCCGTTTAAAAAAAGATAAAAAACGTTAGAGTGTTTTAAGATACTGAGCATCAACAGAAATTACAGAGACATAGCTCACCGGTAACTCCTAGCTCCTCGGCCTTCTGATCCAGCAGCTGCTCTCGCCTGCGCTTGTCCTTGAAGTCGCGTGCTGTCTGGTCGTAGAAGAACGGGTGAGCTGCAAACCACTCTACGAGGTGGTCTTCCTGTTCGGGCGAGAGAGTCGCCTCTGGCTCCATCCGGATCCTCTTCTTGACCCCGGGCCAATGCGACACCATTGGCTTTTCATCTTCTATCTCCAACTCTGGCTCCCCGGTCACAACTCTGTGGCCAACACGTCCGTGCAGGCTGGCTGACGAGCCCGGCTCCAGCATTGTGTGTGGCATGTTGGCAATGAGTGACAGTGAGGGGTCACTGTTTTCGTCCGAGTCCTTCTGGTATTGAGAGGTTGCAAGAGTGATGTCCGAACTGGAACTGGCAGGTAGGCACTTCTGCCATCTCCCTCTTCCTTTCATGGATCTACGTGCAGTCCTCCTTTCCATTGGCGGGATGCTGAATCTTGACATGTTTTTTTGCATCATGTTTGGTGACTGGCTGTAGACTTGTTGGCGCTGTCGGCACACCTGCATTTACAGTTAGAGGTCAAGTGATTAAAAGCTCTCAAGGTCACCAACCAGTCCCGCTGACCGCTCGGCAAGTAGTTATTGAGTGTCTGCAGAGTGTCTGTGTCCATGCAAACTATGGGTAACAATCTGCTAGCAACCAAAGCAATCGCTATGAGGTTTTTGGTGCAACACAATACACCTCTTTGCCATTAATTTTAGCTTGTGACAGCCAGCAACCACTTGCCAAGCAGTCGGGGATTACACATTTTACCCTAGCGACCAGTGGTTGGCAGGATGATAGTCAACTGGTCTCTAGGCCTGTGTAACAGGGGCATAAGGCAACAAAAAAAACTATATACAGTTTCACATTGTTGGTCATATAATTAATAAAATTATATTCCAAGTTTAAGTACATTAAACCTTATTTAAAACTATATATAGCAGAGTACTGGTGATTTTCTTTTGGTAGAAATCCAAGGCCAAAAACTGTTTGTGTGCAAAATAAAATTATATTCCCAAGAAAGTTTGCTTCAACTCAAATCATGTCGAACAAATTCTTTTAAAAGGTAAACACAGAAATAGATACATTTCACAGTGCGATTAAGGCTCACTCTAATTTGTAAAAGTCTTGACTGCTTGTGACCTAATGTCCAGGGCTCGCAAAAATCTAGCCCGACGTCCCGGAGCTAGCGATATCTCCGGTCGGCCACCAAAATCTATCTCAGCCCCTGCACCGTTGGGTATATATAACCCAACGGGCGGGGCTGAGATAGATTTTGGTGGCCCGACCGGAGATATCGCTAGCTCCGGGACGTCGGGCTAGCGATTTTGCGACCCCTGGACCCATTTAGTCACCAAAGCCTATAGTGGCTTTCTTGATCATTATGACTTCCAGGAAGCTAACAGAAAGTCCTAAAGGTGATCTTCTCCAACTATCTCTCCTGATATAAATTAACTGAGGTCTAATTTCTTACCTATAAGTACTGATTTACCAATGATAGATTGTATATTACCCCAAGTACAACTAGTATCACTGTTTTATATTTATGTAGCAATTAATTGTACAAAATAATAGAAATGTGAACAACTGGGGATACATTATTAACATGTCCCCATGTGTCTCAGACTTCCCTGTCACGTAAAAATTTCTGTACTACCAAACTGTTTCTCTTTTACATTAACTTTCACGTCTTTTCAGTTTTTCAGATCATGTAAAGTTCTTCCCACACACTTCACAGCCAAATGGTTTCTCTCCCACATGAAGTTGCATGTGTCTCTTTAGATCGCTTCCTCGGTTGAATCCTTCGCCACAAACACCACAGCCATATGGTTTCTCTCCAGTATGGACTATCTTGTGAATCTTCAAACTTTCGTGATTAGTAAATATCTTACCAAAGACATCACATCTAAACAGTTTTTCTCCTGTGTGAATTTTTATGTGTTTATTGAAAGTAGAAGAATGTCTATATTTCTTTGTACAAATCTTACAACAGAAAGGTTTCTCTCGTGTGTGGATTTTTATTTGAGACTTAAGATGAGTGTTTTGGTTAAATCTTTTGCCACAAACCTCGCAGCTATATGGCTCATAACCCAATGGCCTCTCTGTTGTGTGGACTTTTCTGTGAGCCTTGAAATGCATCTTCTGCTTGAATCTTTTACAACAAACACCACAACTAAATTGTTTCTCTACTGTATGGACACTCTGGTGTCTTTTCAAATCTCGTGAATATGAAAATCTTTTGCTACAAATATCACAACCAAATGGTTTCTCTCCTGTGTGAACTCTCATGTCTCTGTCAAGACTATACCGCTGTCTTAAAGTTGTTTCACAAACATTACAGCCAAATGGTTTCTCTTCGGTGTGGTCTGTCCTCTGAGACTCTACATTTTTCCTCACTGTATGAGATTTCTTAATTTCCAAGCTAGAGCTGGAGGATAATTATTTTGAATGACATGTCATGTGTTTTTGAAGAGACTGCCTTTGGAGAAACTCTTTATCACACTCTGAGCAGCTAAAGGATTTGTTTAAAATGTTAAATGCCCCCTGACTCTTTATGCCTGACTCAAGTTCCCTGCTCACCTTCCAAACATCATCACTGTGTCTGGTTTTAGGTCCAGAATCTGATACAGGCTCCTTCCAGTCATCATCATCATTACTCACTTCAGTCTCAGAAGAGTCTGAAGCCTTTACATCAGTTTTTGGTTGTAAATAAATATGTGTATCAAGGTTCCCTTCTGATTCTGGTCCTCCACAGTCCTCTTCATCAGGCTCTGTTTTTACCTGTTTAGCTGGGCTGCTGGTCAGAGGCTCCATCTCACTGTTGTCTTCAGTTTGGCTTTGATGAAGCTGCAAAGACTGAGACTTCTCTTTATCATCATCTTCACTCTTTACAGTAACAATAGTGAATGGGAAAGTGGTGACATCAGTCACCTTCAATCCATTATGCTGCTCTCCCTCCTGATTGGTCCAGAGTTCTTCCTGTTCCTCCTTTATCTGCAGAGACTCTCGGTCCTGCTGGTCCAGACCGAGGCTCCATTCAGGGTGATCCTCTTTCATCTCCAGCAGCTGCTGAACTTCTGCAGAAAACAGCCGAACACGTGGAGTTAAATTATTATAAAGGCAATTGTAGCACTGGAGTATTCTAGGAATCTGATAGAAATTAGAAGAAAGAATGAAACTATACTGAGATGAGTGAAAATCTTTAGCAAGCTTGTGTTTCTAGTCTGTTTTCAGCCTCCAATAAAAGAAATGCTTTATCATTGTACTTCCAGTTAGTGTTTTTAAAAGAAATGCTGTCAGGATGAAGGAGTTTGTGAAAGTGAAACAAGTTGGGGGTTTTTTCACTTTGCTTCACCAGAGTTTATAAGATAATTCCTGCTTCAAAGCCATCATATAAATAATAATTTAAAGGTACAGGCCATAAAATTAGATATATATGTTATACTCATAAATATAGAGTATTGAATAATGTGTAATTATGTCTTCCAGCAAAGAATGAATCAATTACAAAACCATTACAAAATTACTTGTTTTAAAGCTCAGTTTTTAAAACCTCACGGTGTAACTACAGCCCAGCAGCTCACAGTTTGCCAGGCATCAAATATTTGATCAGGTTAGAAAAAAATAATTCTGAGGCCAACAAAGATTTGAATGGGTACATGAAGCTGAGGATCGGGATTTTTTAAATTATGAGTAATATAAACCATGCAGCAGTATATTAATGACTAATTCTAAATGGATTATCTCCTGAGTGACGTTTGGTCCAATTAGAGCATCTTTCTCCTGCCATGTGATTGCATTTGTCCCTAAAAATCGTGAACCTTCATCTTAATTTTTATCGATGGGATAAAGATTTGCGTTCATCCTCCAGCTTCACTGTGTGTTTGTATTATGCTAACCATAGCTCTGTAGCTAGCCACCACAACATTATATACCAGCTAGCCCAACTTCAGCAACCCTACAAACATCACTGGTGTTTCGTTTTCTGTCTTCATTTATGTTGGATAGCAGAGCTGTATGTTTTTAATTTTTCAGAAATTTTTCAGAACTTCAAACTTCATAAATCCTGTTTCTCGTGGATGCCTGGATTTGAAACTTTATTGCAGAGCAGCCACACGGATCATTTTATTAAAGATGAAAGAATTTAGACAGTTTTTATCTCTCAGTGTTTGTTTGGGACCTGAAGAGGAGTTTGTACCCGGAAATGACTAATGACCTCAGACTTAATAGGTGGATAGCTAGGATTATACACTTAACTGGGAGGGGTAAGATGACAGAACACAGCTGACTGCAATCTACTCCGTCCCAGGAATTATATTTAACATACTGATATAAATACATAAAGAATGTTAACATATTCATCACCTGAGCTAACTGCTCAGTTTAGTTTAGTTTTTTCTTTTTCCCAGTGTGGCCACCAGTTGGCACTGCATTATATGTGCGTTTAAAAAACAGATTCAAATGGTCACTAAATCCAATTCAGTCCAATTCATTTTTATTTGCCTCATACATAATCACATAAAGAGGCTCAAAGAGCTTCACAGGCATAAAAACAAACAAACATAAGAAATGAGGTCACTTACATATTAAAACAGAAGTTTAAACAAACAAGCAAAACCATCAAGAACACACAGACATCACACGTTAGGAAAAATAAACTGCAGATAAATTATAACTCAGTCCAATTCAAGAGAAACATGTCCATTTTTTCTTTGTATGACTTTGTCATGGTTACATATCCATTAGCGCTATTTGGCATGGACCTGACTTGTAAACTGAAAACTGCAAAAACAAACAAACAAAACAACAACAACAACAACAACAACAACCACCAACAACAACTTTTATTTGTATGTTTGCTAATGGTTTTTTCATAACCTTCCCTGTCTTTCTCATTATGTTTGGTGCACCCCTATGATATGCTGCTACCCTCACCTATGGCAACGAGCTGTGGGCAGTGACAGAAGTGAAATAATGACACTGCAGATAAAAGTAGAAGAAGAAACAAGACTCGTCTGAAGGATGTCTCTGCTCTCTGTGTAAGTGTGCAATCCTGACATGCACCTCCTGGGGAATGTAACTACATATCAGGTCAAAGTTGCCAACTAATGTGGTTGTTCTGTTCAGCACTGTTGATTAGTGAGAGAATAACAATCGCTCTCTTGATACAAGGAATAATAATTACAGCATCAATATAACGACTCACAAATACCAGCAGATTCCTGGAAGGAGAATGCTGAAACTACAAAGAATGGGGGAAAACTGGAGGGAAAAACATGTTTCACAAAGGTGAGGACCCAGTATTTTATTTATTTCTGTTGGCTGGCACTACATATGAAACACCGGGACAAACCGCAACTAACCCATAATGCACCCGCACAAGTGTAAATGCCAGCAAAAATGTCAGCCACTTATGTAGGTTACGTCACCAGCTCCCCACAGAAATCCAAATCAGCCCTTAGAGACAGCGTAGGGCTGAACGATTATGGAAAATAATCTAATTGCGATTTTTTGCCCCAATATTGCGATTGCGATGCGATATGCGATTATTTTTTAGATGCCCTGCTCCACAGACACACAAAGGCACACAGTAAGAAGTGGTGTGTGAATGTGTGAATGTGGCTTGTAAAGCAAGTAAAAAGTAATTTGAGTGTTCAGTCAGAAGAAAACACTGCTATGGTTACAGTTCTGGTCAGAAGTTTCCATCCACTCATCAAGGGCATGAACACCATGGTGATTCTGGCCTTTTAATGAGTGATGCTTTAATGTATGTCTTAAGTTGTCAGGCTCAAAGCCTGTTCAGATTCAGAGTCATCTTTATTTGGCCGAGTTCGTGCATACAGATGAGGAATCTGACTCTGGTTCCCTTTGCTCTCTGTATACAAAAAGAAACCATTTTAAATAAGCAACATATTTACAAGGAGAACATAAATATGAGGATACAAGTAACAGAAAGTCTTAAAAAACGATGCAAACTATAACAAACGTCTGTATACTGGTGAGTGCAACCTTGATGAACCTTAGATATTAATTTTAAAAAGTGCAAATTGTGTAGTACAATGTGCACATGGCCTGAACAGTGGGTTATTTCAGTGTCCATCCAGCCTGGGGCAAGAAGCCATTGCTGTGATGACTGCTTTTGTAAACAGTGCTCTGTAGAAGCTGACCTAAGGCTGCAGCTTAAACCGGATTTAAAATCCAATCCATCCATCCATTCGCTTCCGCTTATCCTTTTCAGGGTCGCGGGGGGCGCTGGAGCCTATCCCAGCTGTCATAGGGCGAGAGGCGGGGTACACCCTGGACAGGTCGCCAGTCTGTCGCAGGGCCAACACACAGGGACAGACAACCATTCGCACTCACATTCACTCGCACAAGTACAAATTATTCAGACGTGTCACCACTTTGGTCTTGAAGAACTGTCAGACTCAGAAAGGAGGACTATGGTTAGGATGTTCAGGAACAGCCCAGGAAACATCGAGGCTCATACCTGCCATGAACTGGAAACTACTGTAACACCAGCACAACTGTCCACAGTGAAGCCAGGGTTACAGGGTACCGACCAACAAAGAAGCCTCTGCTCCAAAATCAAAACCTTCAAGCTCAACTGAAATGTGCAGCTGCCCACGTGGACGGGCCAAGTGCCTTCTCGAGAAAACTTTTGTGGTCAGACGACACAAAGATTGAGTTGTTTGGTCACAAATACAAGAGTCAAGCTGAAGCTGAATTCAAACCTAAGAAGACTGACTGTCAAACATGCTGTGGCCCATTTCCTGCCAGTGGTACTGGTATATAACACAACGTGAATGGAATAATTAAGAAGGAAAACTACCTCCAAATCCCTCAACTTCACATCAGATCAACAGCTTGATGGTTCAAGCTTGGACATGGTTGGATGTTTCCGCAGGAGAACGATCCCAAACACATCACTGGTTTTGAAATGGATAAAGCAGGCTAGCATTAAACATCTGGATTTACGTGGCTCCGACCTCAACCCTATTTGAGCACTATACTTAAGAGCTGATCTGTGCCAAGGAACGAACCAATTTAAAAGCAAAAATTATGCCAGGAAGAGTGGTCAAATATTCAGTCAGAATTGTTGATGGATACAAAAACAACAAAAAACTGAAGTGCAGTTTGTTAAGGGACATTTAACCAACCAAAAGTTTATATTTTATGTTTATATTTGAATCTGTATGTATATTTCTGACCCTGTGTGGATGAAGAGGGAAAAAAAAACAAAAAAAAAAAACACGCATTAAAAATACAATCATTCCACGCTGCAAAAAGATCAGATAAACTCCATATGACAGTGACATTCGTGACCATGATGAGTGGATGTAAACCTGTGACCACAGCTGTAGATGCAGAATCAGCCCTCCACCCTGAAGCAGATCGGAAACTGGGAAAGATTGGATCGCTGCACTCCTCCTCGTAACCAACCTTAACTCACACCGGTGTTACTTGCGTCCTACGAGCTGTTCCAGGATAATGTGAACTGATTTAATGAAGTGAAAAGAAAAAAAAAAAACCCAAAAACCCACACACGGCCATCCCTGTCTGGTGTGTTAGCAGCTAGCCCGTTTCCTCCACATTAAATCTGTCGTTATTCTCACCGGAGGTTTGGCTGCCCTCGTCTTTCTGCTGCTGATGGACTCCGAGCGGGTTAATCTGCTGCATCTCTTCGAAGGACAGACTCTCGGCGCTGTGCTGCTGCAGATAATCCGCTCCATTCATGGTGTCCGCAGATATTTTCTGCTTCACAATAAACTGCAGGCTCCTTCGGAGTCAGCACAAAAGATCACAGTCGCACACTTACACGTCACTGCTGCTCGGGTCCCGCGTCTACAGATGACATCATGCGTTATAACTGGAGACGTGTAAACATGAATCCGATATGTTATTATTATTATTGTAATTTTAAATAAGTAATAGAATCGAGTTCTAAACAGGATAACTTTTCTATTCCAGATTAATTTCACAATTAATCTTAGTTTAAAAGTATTAATATATCTGCACAAAAATACTTTACTGTTCCTTTAGGTGACATCTCTAAGATGAATGGGTGTGAACTAATAGAATAAGGTAATGATGTAAGATGCAATCATGCTAGGCGAAGGAGCATTACTGATGATGTGTTTCACAGTGGTTTTTGTTTCAGTAATTAGAATATTGGTCTTGGTTGTGATCAGAGTCCCTGGGTGCGTCTTGAGGGTCACTGTGGTGCTGGTGTTCTGTTTGTTCTTGGTCTCAGCGGTCTGTAGCGTTTGCCAGAAAACATGTTTGGCCGTGCTGAGGGAGATGAAGGTACCAAGGAATTTGAAGGTTGGCACCACTGATGCAGAGGGGGCCAGGTCTGCACCGCTGCTCCATTGTTTTCCAATCTCAAAATCTCTGTAGGCAGAGTCAGTCGTTGTATCACAGGCGAATGTGATGATGGGATGTCCAGGATGATAGTGCTGTATAGTCAGTAAAAAGCATCCTCTCAGAGCTCCTCTGGTGTTCTGTGGCATCCTCAGTGGACCACTTTGCTGACTGTGTGTTGAAGGTGGGAGCGAGACAGCCTGTGCTGATCTGGATAATGGTGAGACTCAAAGTTGGGGACATGGCTGGTCTGACAGTGTTATGCTATAGCTGCCTGTGACAGGACACATCTGTCTGCTATTCATCACCTCACTGAAATGTGGTGCTGGTCCCTTCTGGAGCATTTTAATGGAATTATCAGACAAATAATAACCACAAAAGAAGCTCATTAATCTGTCTTGGTGACTGAAATTCATAGTATTTTATTAGTCTGTTGCTAATAAACCACCAGGTAACTGTGTCTGTGCATTAACACCACCGCTGGCTGCTAATTTAACACACCACTTAAATATGATAACTTCTCCAAGAACCCTAATTCAGTGGCAGCCAAATCAGTAATATTTAGGCTTCAAAATACAAAGTCCAAAAACAGCGAGTGACATCATGGGTACGACTTCCATCTTTTAGATACAGTCAGGATTCAGTGCTACCTGCTGTTTGGTGACGCTGTGAAAGAAACCAACTCAGGTGCATAGCTAAAAAAAAAGAATAATTGAACTCCTGAGTTTATAAACTTTGTTGCAAGTGTGTGATCTTTTGCTATGAAATAAACTGATGTGCAAACGTCTTGAGCCAACCCTCATTTCTTTATATTGTGCTTCCAAGGAGACAGATGTCCTTTAAAGTTTGGAGAATTATTCCAGAAAGAAACAACAGAAAGCTGCCTCAGAGTTCAGACTGTAAAAGAATAAATCTGGTGACACAAACATTCATTTTCTAGCTAATTATACTTGTATAAACTCTTTTTGCCTCGTACACTATATTTCCACATGTTTGCGAAATATGAAGAAATGAGGAGCTGCTCGACACGTGCACAGTTCTCCGCACTGTCTGCCTTTGGTGCATCGCTCTAAAAATCTCCACAATCCACCAAACTGTCTCTGGCTGGATGGTCTGTTACAAATAAACCAAAAACAAACAAAAGGCCAAGAAATATTATACAGTAACATTTAATCATGAAAAGGTCGAGTAGAGACCATAGAGGGACGAGTGTCCATTCAAACAAAGGGGCGCGATAGGAGGAAAATACGGCACACAGCTAAACCACAGTCTTTTAAAAAATAAAGTCAGTGCACAAATAATCTTACAAAGATTGCATAATATAAAGAAAGGTTATAAAATTTCCCAGAAATAGTGCAATTTTACCACCACCAGGAAAATAAAATAAAACCTGCCCCAATGTCGATGCCAGTCGTCTAAACGCTCCGCCGGAGAGCATTTTGGTTTTCGTCACGCGAAACGTTTTGAACTAAATGCTCTGCGGTCTGGAGGCAGGGCTCGGAGTGAAAAGAGAGCAGATGTTTCTGGATGGCTACATGTTACTGAGACACAACACACACATGCAAACAAACTCTTCATTGCACTTGGGAAAATGAATATAAAATGAGTTTCTATACAATAGTGTATATGGGACAGTCCAGAGAGGCCCACCTGTCGATACTCAGCACACACATTTAACTTAAAGCAGAGCCAGTGTTTCTACTCAGTCTGCGGACTAAAGGCTACATGTGTGCACAAACATACCCACAGGGCTTCAGTTTTCACATTTAATAAGGACATAATAGCAGAAATCCCACTCATTTCCTCCACCAAAGGTATATTTCAATGTTTCTTGTATGTAATACATCTTTACAAACACAGCTCTGACACTGAGCTCCTACTCACCTCCAGTAAAAAGCGCCTTACAGATGAATGGCAGCTACTGCATAAACACATAAATGTAACTTATCCCTGACACCTCAAAAACAGAGTCACACACACGACCGGGCTCAGGAAAGGAAATAGAAGAAATGCTGGAATAAATGTTGCTGGCTGTTTTCTGAAAATGAGAAGAAATCCAAGAAAAGGTAATAACTCTGTGCTACAGAGTCGGACCACACCAACACGCCAGCAACACACAAACACACCCACACATCCTCTGTGAGCTCAGATAATCCAACTGTGAGGACTGAGTTTGTGATGTTGCTGCACAACACTTCTGTTCCAGATATCTGATCCACCCCTGTGCCGGCACATCATTCTGCAACGCTCTCAAATTAAATAAAAATAAATGTACTCATGATCTGCAGAAAAATCTCCCTCCTGGCTGCATTTATGATCACTAAAGAAATAAAACAAACATCGTAAAAAGTGTCTTAAATTCCCTTTAAGCCAAAATCCTCACACCTGAATGTCATGAAAGAATTACAATTTGTCGGTTTGCTGATAGGTTGTGCACCAACAATGTTACTCCCTAGTACAAATCTACTAGATCAGAGGTGTCAAACATAATGTGAAGATTAAAAGAAGCTTTACAGCTTGGACTGCGTTTTGTGCTTAAGAAAGTAGAGTCTGACTCGTCCAGTTCCTCTGAGCCAGAGGTCACTTTTAAAGCTAGTTCTGCCCCTCCAAACTAAACTGTGCCTATAAAGTAAGGAGGGTTTTTCCTAAATATAAAACAATTTGACACCACTTTCCCTAAAAAAAAGAACATATTTTAAATCCCTCCCCTCTTTTCATGAAATGACTGAAATAACAAGGAAAGAGAGATTTGTTAAGTAAGGTAGCATAGACTTCTTATTGCCTTTAGTGTATGAAGAGTAATTGTGCTTACATGCATCGTCACCACCTAAAAATCCCATTCTGATCCAGGAGGAATCCTGGGAAAATGTGCATTTTTTTCCACTGCGCAAAAAGAAGAAAAAGTAAAATTCTGGGAATTAACTAAAAGTTTCTGTTTTCATTACAGATCAAAGTCCAGGCAATGATCAGCTGGTACTTTCTTATTTTACAGACTGATTTCTTTAAGAGTTTAAAGTTCTTCACACCAAATAAAAAGGCAAAAATCTGCTTTCTTTACACGTTTGTAAGGAACAGCATCAAGAAAAACTGGACCCAGAATCTAAAATGAGTTTGACACCCCTGTGCTAGAATACACGCACAAACACTATAAACAGCACAATATACACACATCAAATAAGCTAGACAGAGTTAACAAAACACAGCTGCATGATCCAAAGTGGCACCAACGTGAAACACGAGTGCTGTCAGGAGCTCCACGGAGCGGTCACTGAGTTACGAACCCTCCTCTCACCGGAGGCCAAGCGTACATTCAACATCTGTTACGAAAAGAACGCCTAAACGAGCCCCGCCTGGATCCAACGTCTAGCGCCACCTCGGAGGTCGTTCGTCTCTCTAGTGCCATGAGATGAGGGCGGAGTGCTACATGTACTGGTGTGCATATTCTACACTATATTCCTGCATCCTGTTGCCGGGCGACGCTCATCGCTCGCCCCAAAGAATCCAGCTATCACTTCTGAAAATAACCAGCCTCCTCTTTGTGAGCGTGCATGCTGAAACACTATGGAGAACCAAGGTCGGGGCGTTAAGATGAGGATGCTGCTGTAAGATGAGGGGAAGGGACTTTTTTCTTCAGCCTCAGAAGAATAAAAAGCAAACACGGTGTTAGTTTATTTTTTTGTTGGTTTTTTTTAAAGGTTTAAAGAGCCGTACCATGTCTCTTTAGGCATGTTAGTAGATAGGCGTTCACTTCACAGGCTCACATCAACGACAGAGCGATTTCTGCACGTGCTACCAACACTAATAAACCAAAGATACTCGTCAGTGCCAATACGTGAGGAGGTGTGGTTCAGAGATGTGCTGCTTTGGTACCATTACGATTATGGACGGTAGTAAACAAAAAAAAACTCCACACCCAAAGAGACGAGAAAACACATTTACAGTAACACTCCTGCTCAGGAGGACGGACGGAAAGGATCACAAAGCTTTTATTTATATATATATATATATATATATATATATATATATATATATATAATTATATATATATATATATATCTATATATATATATATAATATTTATATATATATATATATATATATATATATATATATATATATATAGATAGATATCAATACAGATATATAGGAAGATAAAGATATATATAGCTTTTTTTTCGTCATTTAACGGACTCCCTGTGAAGATAAAAAACATTAGAAAGAGGAGTAAGTGTGGCATCAGCGTGCTGAGAAAGACTGCAGGCCCCTCGGTCAGTGCGAATCAGAAAGCACCGATGGACGACAGCAACACACACATGCGCTCCCACAGGAAGAGGCCACAACAGCCCAAACACACAGTCAATCCCAGTGTATGCAAGGCCCGCCCCCTCCACCCACACAGGTCTGACGATCATTTTAAAGGCGGTGGGCGTGCAGTTTGTGGGGCAGTGCTGGCGTGAGCCCTCAGGCGCTGAAGCCTGGCAGTTTCGGTTTTCTGGTCAGTTACCGGGCAGCTCCCTCTCGGGTGGAGTTCAGAGCTGGTGCACGATGCTGTCTGTGTGGTTGACCGAGACGGAGCCGTCCTGGCGCAGCCGCTGCCACTGGAAAGTTGTGCTGAGGGAGCCCACCTCGTCCTCCTCATTCTCCTGCTCCTTGGCAAACTCCATAAACACCTGCAGGACAAAAGGAAACAAGGAAAGCTTGGAGTGAAGAATCCAGAGGTCCAGTGGAAGTACAAACTGACCGCCTGACCTGTAAGCCTACCTGCTCTAAGGTGGACTGGGAGAAGTTGTACTCTTCAAAGTTGAAGGTTTGCTTGGCTGACGACACAAGGAAAGAAGATTAAGTACACGGGAGAGAGAGCAGAGCTGTGGAGGAGAAACGACGGGTCAGCACTCACTCACCGCTCTCTAACTGGGAGAAAGACTTGGCCAGCGATTGGACGTCCTCCATGGGGATCTTGTAAACCATCAGCGTAGCAAAGCTGGAAACACAGCACACATACATACAGAACTAAACCGGGACACACAGAGCAGTAGCACGCGTCCGTGTTTCCACAGCTCTATTTTCCATAATGCTTCCTCCTCTCTTTTTTCGCTCTTAGTTGACTTTTAGTTTTGACTCTGAATCTAATCAGTGGTATAATAAGCTACGAAAATACACATAAAAGCTCATGTTTTGCCTCATTTATTGATTTCTAACATTTTTATTTAAGCTTTTTATTTACTTCTACCCCAAAAACAACCTCGGACAAGTCCCACACGTTGAGCGGAAAAAACGTGAAAGCACAGGATATCTACTCCCAACTGTTATTTTAAGGGAACTCATTAAGTGTCCATCACTGTGTAGCTGAAGTGGAAGAAAGACAGGTGTTAATCAACTGAAGCCATCTACAGGAAGAAAACACTGAAGGTTTCACAGCTGGACGAGCTGCTGTGGAGTTATGAGACCGCATTCCCATCTGGTGCCCTCTTCACCGCCATCGGTGCTCGCTGGCTTTATGATCACAAATATACAATCCAGCCCACTGGACACGTTTAGTAAACGTGAATGAGGATATACATTTTGGACTGTCTTTGAAAGAATTTTACAGCTTGTCCTACTGATAAACACCTTTCCCACTTTCATTCATACTGCACCAAAGTCCATCCATCAAGTAATGAAGAGTTAAATGACTGAAAAGTTGCAGCTTTTTTCTTCTCTGGAGATATTTATGCTTTTCTATTGTGGCCACACAGATGTCTTTCATTAACTACAGCAGCATTTCTTTATCATGCAGAAACACTGAGACACACTTGAAACTGCACAAGGATTAAATGTGACAGAAAAAGGATTTTTACCAATCCAACTCACTTAAGATCAAAATGGGCTGTAAAACGAGTCTGACATCCCTGAACTGCACACAGACACAGACAGGTCAGGGCTCACCTCTCCTGCCGAGCGGCGTGAGGGAATATTCGTAGGATCTCCTTATGCAACAGCGCCACCTGCTGGAGCCCCGTCAGCTCTTCTCTAAGTTTCACCTCCAAACTGTAACCGCGGCCATATTTTCCTTTTAAATGTTGGATGGAACCGATACATCTGCAGGAAAGAGACCAAGCATTAAGAGGCATTATGCCGAGACTCGGAAGTTTGAGAAATTATCGAGAAAGCAACTGTGGAGCGAACCTCAGCTGCCCAGAAACCATGATGGCGACGCGGTCGCACACAGCCTCGGCTTCCTCCATGTAGTGAGTGGTCAGGATGGCTCCACGCTGACGGTTCTTAAAAGCGGCTCGCATGGCCCTCCTACACGAAGGAAACGCTTCTTTTAACAGTAGCATTGCTTATGAAAGTAAACACATTATTTGGCAGTGAAAGAAAAGAAACATTTATTTGAGAGAACTTCAGCGCTTCACATTTGAAACAAGAAAAAGGCAGAAAAATGCTTCTGTAAGGAAAACATCATCTCACCACATGCGCTGTTTGGACTTTGGATCCATCCCTGATGAAGGTTCATCCAGTAAGACGATCTGCGGATTCCCGATCATGCTCAAGGCAAAGCACAACTGCAGACATACAACACAATAATATCATACAAACACTGTAAACCTATAACAGAAAAGATTCGAAGTGCCTCATGTGTTTCATGACAGAACATACATTTAAGGCTTTTACATTTGAAGTGAGACGTTTAAACGCCACTGCCGCGAAAAATAAAATGAAACTTAAAAAGCTAAAATATTCTGACTCGTTAGGAGTAAAACGTCGATTTTGCTGTTAACACCAACAGGTTTCTGATAAATACTTTATTATCAGGCAGGATAAACACAGCATTAACATTATAATCGAGCAGACTAATAGGCAAGCCGAGGGTCTCCTCACCTTCCGCTTCAGTCCTGCAGACAGAGTCTTGGCTTGTTTGTGTAAGTGGTCCTTCAGCTCCAGAGCATTCACCACACTGACAGCAACGGCAGACACACAACAGCCGTTATTAGCTTTACTCTCTCTCTCTCTCTCTCTCTCTCGAAAAGATTTAAAGATCTACATCATCTTTGACTGTCTGACTGTTAAAAATAGAAATCACTGTGGTCAAACGTCAGGGGGAAACCGGTACTGAGAATGAGACCGAGACTTTACCGTTTGATGATCCCCGGCACGTCCTCTCCTTTCAGGCCTTTAATGGCGGCGTAGATCTCCAGATGCTCCTGCAGAGTGACCCGAGGCCACAGAGGGTTCACCTGTGGACAGTAGCCCACGTGCTCCAGAGGATTGTCCACTGAGCGAAACTCAGTGCTGTAGTCTCCCAGCAGCACCTGGACCAAGACGAGCAAAGATTCAGAGTGTTTTCTTGGTTTAAACACATGAGTAACATGACTGAAATTATTAAATAAACAGACCGAGGAATGCTTCAGTATCATCCTACTGTACCTGGCCTGCAGTGGGGTCAGTGTCACCTGCCAACATGTGCATGATGGTGCTCTTTCCTGCTCCGTTGGGGCCCAACAGTCCAAGAACTTCACCTGAGGAAACAGCAGGGTAGGATTCAGACTGTGGGTGAAGTCGGCCGGTTGGGAACCACGCAGCATAAGAAAAAGCAGCAAGACTAAGCGTACCTTTACGGACACAGAAAGAGACGTTCTTTGTGGCCAGCTTCCTCTTCTTGCTTAGAGAAAATCCTTCTCTCCTGCCCTTGTACTGCTTCTTCAGGTTACTCACAACCACGACCGGTTTCTAAACAGACACAGAAAAGACAGAAAAAGGAGCAAAATGCCTTCAGATCACCGACGAGAAACAAAACACTAAAGACGCCTGGCTAAATTAATCTTTATTACACCTCGACTCTTCAACAGGGACCAGGGACTTCAACAGCATTCTTAATTTATGTATTATAAATATTTACCTCTTCACAGGACTGACAGCTGAGGGCCTCTTTGACTCTGGCCCTTTCCATCTGGACATCTTCGTCTTCATTCTGGCCTTCTTCTAGGTTCCTCTCCACCTTGGCCTTGGACTGGGATGAGATCCTGTGAACATTTTAAAAGAACAATCTGCTGCATTTAATGTAGGCATCAAAACCTATGTTTTTACTGCAGTAAAACGGTTGCGACCACATTTTGTTCAGGGATCTGCGTAACTCCAAAAGCCTCACAAACTTCTCTACCTTTATCAAAGCAATAAACCTCAGTATAAATAAACCAGAGGTTCCTGTAATCAGAGTTATGAAAGCGATCATCACCTGCAGAGCTGATCGTTTTTCATCGTCCTTCCTCCAGAATGGATCTCCAGCCAGCGAAGCAGGAAAAGCAGAACGATGCACTGGAGATAGGGCTGAGCACAGACACACAGTTACAGTTAAATACAGTTCTGACATCTGTTTATCACATTTTCCCCCACGTCTTGAAGTATGATACATACAGCTAAAACTGAAATGAGCAGGTTCTTCCACAGGAAGTTCTCCTCGTAGACAGTCGGGAGGAAGGTGGCCTGAGAAATGGAGAAATGCTCTCAAACATGACTCCAATAACGGCCTCAGCCCCAATGATATATGATCGTGTATTTATTTGAAAAACACAGCTGTATGCTTGACAGAGAAAGCAGCTGTTGCCCTGAGCTCCTACCTTGGTGATGCAGTTGAGACAGCCCATGAGAGGGTACAGCGGGTTGAACAAACACAAGACGTTGTGCAGGGTTCTTGTCAAAGCTGGATTGTTGTTTACGAAGGACAACTGAACCACCGAGGCTGACACGACGCACACCTGAGGTACAAGCAATTTATTTATTTTTAATAAAGGTTTCAATCTAAAGCATTTTTGTTGTCATGTGAAGAACAAAGAAAAGAAGAAGAAAGAAGAAGAAAAAACAGCAGCAGCAGGCTTGTTCAGGATCACATGTTTGAGTCTCACCATCATGGAGATGACAGAGAAAAAATCCCTGTTGCTTTGGACTCGGGCGAAGCCGAAAGACGACACATAAGTGAAGAGAATCATGGCTGGGCTGAAGCCAACGGTGCAGAGAACCTAAGGCGGGGCAGAAGCCATGAGATGAAGTCACGTATGTGTTGTATTACAGAGGAATAAAGTCTTTAAGCAGCTGGACGCACCACCGCAGAGAGGTTGCTGGAGTTGAGCAGGTTTCCGGTGTGGAAGGAGAAAAGGATGATGGACATGAAGGACAGGATGAGGTAATAGAACGGGATGTCCACCGCTGCCTGTCCGCACCAGTACGCTGACGGTACGAGACCAGAGATGCGCAGAGTTGAGCGACACTTTATCTGCAAAGGGGACAAAACCCCCAAAACAAAACACAGAAGTGACGAGAAATGTGACTGTGTGGCCCGATGTTCTCACTGTACCAGACAACGTTTCTTTTTCCCTCTAAATCTTTTGTTGAAAAGATGAATCTGTTTTCATCTCTGTGACTAACTGGTTACCTCTCGGTCTCGAGTGTGGTCCATTGCAAAATATGCCGGCATTCCAGCTGCCAGCATTCCCAGTATGATCGCCTCTATGTACACCAGCGCGTAGGATGTAGCATCAGGGATTTGCTGATGGGCATCACAAAGGGAAAGTTTAGTGTCTTGGAAACGACCTCTGTTATCTGACTCTATATTGGTCAAAGGCACTCACATATTCAAAGGGTTTGGTCCACGTTCGGATCTGCCCGGTCCCATTCAGACCTCTTAGGAGAGCATTGCTCAGTATATTGACAGTCATGGGCAGGGAGTGAACAGTCGTGCTGTTAAATGCAACGCTGTATCTGAAACCCTGCTAACAACACATGAAACAAAGTGTCAACAGCATCATGAACTCAGCACTCCATCTAAACAGAAAGCTCTCAGTTAGAGGAGCCAGCAGCCCTCAAACAAAGAGCACTTTGGCTGCAACACGAGCACCGTGACACATTAAATGTAGGTGGAGGTGCTCCAGTTTCATCTAATCTGATATCAGTAATTAAATTCAATCTATGCAATATTAAAGTGACCTTGCTGGATCTTGTTACGTTGATGGCAGCGCTGTGGGGAGCCGCCGCCATGTAGTCGCTCTGCTTCATCATTTCCACTTTGATGTCCTGAGACTCGATGTTGTGGATGAAATCGGAAATATCAGAGCCTGCAGGTACGAAAAAGACACGGCTAAAATCATCCATACAACCATTTTCTGCTGCGTCACAGGGGCAGCGGTCCAAGCAGAGATGGGCAGACCTCCTTCGACATAATCTGAGTTTGTTGCCACTCAGCGTGAGCCCAGACACCCCTCAGAGGAAGCTTAATCAGCTTGCAACTATAAAACTGCATCATGTAGAAGCTCATACGTGTCAATAAAAACAATTCAAATCAACATCAAGGAGGTTGGTTAAATTACACCCACGGGACATATTGTAATGATTATGGTTAGTGGGATATTTCACACTCGTGCAGAAGTGCGATGCTTCATCACAGTGTTTACATCATGTTGTGCTTTGTGATAGAGCTGAGATCTCGAGTCTTATTCAGGGAAAAACCCACTGAAAGTGAAACAAGCCTTTTAACTCAGTTACACAGAAACCGTCAGGCTGCCGTGTTTGTATCTGTGACACTCACCAGTTGAGTTCTGAACCAGGAGGCTTGTGGCGTATCTCTGGGGCGCCTGGTTCCTCCTGAGGAGGTAAATTGGCAGAAATTGGCGGTCTGAGGAGTGAATCTGGATGTTTCCTGTGGCCAGCGACAAAACCAGGACTGCAGCCACAAACACCAGGAACAAGGCCAGACTGGAAGAAGAGGAAGGGGGAGGTTAGAGTCAGGAAAGTCTCGATAAATGGGAGGAATAAAGCCTCAAAACACATCCCTATTTCTGTGGCTGGACAAAGAGGCAGAAAACTATGGATGTCATTCAGTTCTTTAACTCTAAGCTACAGGAGCAGATGGAGCATGTGTGTCCATCATATGACAGATTAACATACAAACAACAAAAACAAAAGGCATATATTGTATTAAGGTAATAAATAAGAAGCCCGGTTTACCCATGATATCTTCAAAATAAAGAAATTGGCCAATAAAGAAAAATAAGGAGAACACTCACGTGTAAATGAAGGCCTTCCTCTCCCGGCGCATGTTGAGCATGTGCAGCCACGCCACGGTGCTGAACTGCTGCCGCCACAGGGCGTGACCCGTCACAACGTCCGACTTTGTGTCGGAGAACGTGAGCAGCCTCTGGTCCGTGTCGTCCAGGGAGGCGGTGTCGCACTCGTCGTCCGCCTGCTCTCGATTAAACACGCTGTAGTCTGAAGACATGAAACGACTTTTACTCAACACCAGAGCTCCTGCAAACTTTTTCCATTCGAAAAACTGAAATCAGCAGCAATCGTCAGTTTGGCGACACTCACCAGCCTGATCCACTTCAGCCTCTGCCTCCAAACGTAGAAAAACATCTTCCAGCGTTGTCATGGAAACACCATAGTTGACTATTCCCAGTCTGGGTTGAGAGTCGAGCTCCGAGAACAGGCCTAGGAAAGATGAATTCAGGACCGCTCAGCGCGCTGCGTGGCTCACAGTCAAAGCTGAATCATGACGGAGTCATAATCTATTTTTAAAATACTGTCTGGATATTTTTAAAGGATATTAAAGAAACCATGAAGGCCAGGAGTAAGTAAACTTTCCCCTTTGATCAGGAACAACTGCTCCAGTATCACTCTGCTCTGCCCCAGTGCAGATTCAGAGGTTCAAGAAATTGCTTTATTTGCAGTCGATTGCTTTGGAGTTATGATTTTTAAAAACATTTTTATACAATGCACAATGTCAAAGCAAGGCAGGTAAACCAAAAACTGCTGATGGGCACATTTAGGAGTACATGTGTGTGCACAGCTGCATGCGTGTTGCTACAGAAAGCAGGCAGCTATCAGAGAATCAGGTCAGGATAAATGTGCAAAAACGTGACCCGACTGTAAACTAAAAATATAATCACTACAATTCAATGCTCAAAAAACAAACACGCACAAAGGAAACCTCTGTATGGTCGACTCGTGTCATGATTTTTTTAAATGTGACCGACGGACGTTCCTGTGAATCGAACCTGGGAACGTGTCCATGCTCTCGAAGGGCAGAGTGAAGGTCAGCTCCGCCTCGTGCTGTCGGGATAACTTGGCTTTGGGAACGTGCTGCTTAACCAAAGACGTGATCTTTTCTGCGTCACATGCCTCGCTGATAGACATTCTGCAAAGGATGAAGAAAAACATCTAAATCTAGTTCGATAAAGACGCCCGTGGTTAATACACGTTCTAAACTCAGCAATAACAAAAACAATCGAATTAATTATTCCTTTTGGGTTCTTGTAAGAGTCAATGAAGGGGTCCTTGCCTTAGATGATAGCCCACACCGCACTTGATCTTGAGATACAGAGAGGAGCCAACACACTTCAGCTGACCTTGAGAGATCACAGCTTTGCGATCTGCAGAAACAAACATTCAAAAAAAATAAATCAGACATGTTTTCAACTCGCATGGAGATAAACCTTTGTTCTCATATGGGTCGAGCATAAAACTGGAGCTGCTGCTCGGTTACATAAAGCTGTGCTGGTGTTTTCTGCTCGCCTCTGCACCTTGAAATTCTCCTGCAGCAAGGAAGAAAACTCAGCGCTGACCTCATGATGAATAACATCACCAAGCTGGAGCATATGTCAGCAGCACTTTAAAATATGCATACACAACAAACCTGAGTGAAAACTGTTCATCCGGTCAAACGGTTTTATTTTAAACATCATCAAGAAAAGACGGAAAATTTTCTGCAACACCAGCTCCTGATCAAAATATTGATCAAGCTAGAAGATCCTGAGATACCAGCATCCAGGATAAGAATAAAGCACAATTTCTGGTCTATATTTCCAGTCCAAAGTGTGGGTTTGTGTATCTTACACAACAAGGAGCATTCGTACCAGCAAGGATGTCTGCCTCGTCCATGTAGTGCGTGCTGAGCACAGTGACTCTGCCGGCCCGGCGACTCTTCAGCAGAGACCACACCTGGTGCCTGGAGTAGGGGTCCATGCCGGCCGTGGGCTCGTCTAAGAGCAGGATCTGACAGAAACAACCACAAACCCACGTTATCCGAGAAGGACTGGTGTCTGGATTCGAAAAATTGAAGTAAGATTGCACACAGGTACCTTTGGATCTCCTAGGATGGCGATGCCCACAGACAGTTTCCTCTTCTGGCCTCCGCTCAGATTCTTGGCCTGAGCCGTCATGATCTTCTCCAGGTCCAGGTCCTTCAGCACCTTTGTGACCTGTAGAAGGAAACATCACACTAAGGCTCAACAAGCACAGCTTTTTAAACAACCTCAAGAATGTCACATATTCTCCTGCTGGAAGCACTAATGCACATACATGAAAACTATGACACCAACATGCTCTGGAGTTCAGCCACGTTCCAGATCTTTCTATGAAATCGAAATCTTAAGGAAAATAGACGCAGACCCCATCCGTGTGTCATTTTTACTTTTTAAACAGTGGATTTAAAGACCTTCTAGAAGCAAGTCTCGCAACTCTGCAGTCATCTTTACAATAAATTTGATGTTCCCATCTAATTTAAAGCATCATCACTTACTGGATATATTAACTGTATGAATAGAATCACCAAAATGTGGCAAATTTGTTCACAAAGAGCACTTTTTCTTACACATACTTCTAACTTATACTTCAACTACATCTGCGCTTCATTTATTAATCTCGGGGTCTTCAGTCTAACCCCCCAGAGCACTGAACAAATGTCAGTCTGATGATTAGCAAAGAACATTTCTAATCTACCTACAGCTTTGCTGTGGAAACCACAGATTAGGATGGTAAGAAGACGTTTGCTACCACACACCCTGAAATTATAGGAAATGAAACTACTGTGTGTTTGTGCATATGCCAGTGCAGCAACATGATTGGCTGAGAGTTTCCTGGTTTCTGTGGGTTATTAGCTCTGTGGTGATAGGTTTCATCAGCTAAAGATGAAAAGAGATTTCTTCTCAAGATTCGCAGCCACTGTTCAAGTTTCTGCTTGCCGTCGAGTTTAAGCACATTTGGTTTATAAGAACTACAAATCACCTTTTAACGTCGATCAACCCTGGTGTCGAAGGCTGTCACCGGTAGGTTTGATGTCATGTTTCAAATGTATGTTTTAACTTTGATAAATGTCAGAATGTTTCAGACTTTGCACTGCGGGAACATTTCGATCGTCACATTTACCTCGGCGTCGATGTCTGCTCGTGGGATCCCTTTGATGGCAGCAAATATCCTCAGGTGCTCCTCCACCGTGAGCACATCAAAGATGATGTTGAACTGAGGGCAGATTCCCACCAGCTGCTTCATTTCGGACGCGTCGGCAATCTCTGCCACAGGCGAGCCGTAGATGGTGGCCGTGCCGTTCGTCGGCGGGCAGATCCCACACAGGATGTTCATGAGGGTGGACTTTCCAGCCCCGCTGTGTCCCAGCAGAGCAGTAATCTGTCCCTCATAGATGTCAAAGGTCAAACCTGAGAAGGAGAAGAAAAGAAACAGGAGGAGATACGGGATGTTATTTCAGTCCGTTGTAGGAATGTGGAAAAATATCTAATCTAACCATGTAAATCAGGCTTTCTGCTTACTACTGCAGTTGGATCTTTAGCCCACATTATACAGCACCTTCACATGACTCATGCTGTAACCTTGAACAACATGTATAATCATAGGAAAGCACTCACCCCTCAGAGCCTCCACCACGTTGTCCTTTTCTTTGTACACTTTGCGGATGTTATTGATGCTGTTGGAAACAAAACGAGCGAGCAATGAAGAAACAGTGAAACTGAAAGGAGAGAAGCGTAAACACAGCAGTGGAGTCAGTTGAAGAGCAGCTCTCAGGTTACAGGCTGGACCTCCAGGCTCTCCTCAGCTGATGCCACAGCTGAGCCTAACGCTGATCTACCCGAAGCTCTCAGAGCCTCCATCTCTCAGTCCTCTGAATCCATACTTTTAGTAAAGGTACTCTGTGAGCACTGACATAAGAATAAAATGAAATATTGGTAAGTTCAGGCTTTTACCGGATGGCTTCTTTCCCTCTGAACTCGGGAGAAACCGGCTCGATAGACTCGTCCCCACCAGGAGCGCCATTCAGCTCAGTGTCGTACACCGAGCTCACCTCAACATAGCGCTTTCTGCGTTTGGACCAATAGGACGGCTTCAGGAAGTAAACCAAGGACCTCCGCATTCCAAACTCACCTGCGTATCAGAAAATCATCATGAAAACAAAATGAAAACACAAAACAAAACAAACAGAACTGCTAACCCAATCAGCTTCGACCAGCAGTGGGGCGATTTAATGCTGCAGTCAATTAAAGCAGCACGATCAATGTGGTGTAACGCTAATTGAAGTACAGATGGATCTGCAGAGCAGTGCTGCACACACTCAGTGGGAGAAAAAGGAAACATCTGACAGTTTATTTCCCACTCGCTGCACAGCACACCACTGGAGGGCTTTTCAAACTTGCTGTGGGATCTCAGCTTGTTCTTTTCCTCAATGCCCAAAAGACATGTTGAGGAGGTCATTTTAACCATTTAAATCAGCTGTGTTGGACCAAGGACACATCCGAAACCTGCAGGACACCGGCCCTCGAGGCCTGGAGTTCCCCAATCATGAACTAAAGAGAAAATTCAAATGGTTCCTGAAAATCTTACATTTTTGGCTAATTTTACAACCAAAATAATTCCAGCAGGGCCTTATGACACATGGGGGAATAGAGGGTAAACACTCTGTATTTTCAGCTGTTTTGCTACTATGTAAAAGAGAAAAAACACACTTTTACTAAGTAAATAGCTGCTGGATTTGTTCTGGCAAAAACCAGTGTTTGACCGCACTGAGTTCAAATATTTTTGCACTTACCAGGCAGCACCTGGTCCAGGTAGGTAGCCAGCAGAAGATAAAGGATGCAGTCCACAACCAGCATCAGCAACGGCACGTACAAAGGATGAGGCCCATTAGTCAGAGAAGAAAATACAGCACCGTCTCCCTGTGCCTCCAAGTAAACAACCTAAAATAGATATTAGACAAACACGCACTGAGATCAGCCTCGGTGGCATCTACTGCACAAAGCTTCATCTTTCTGAAAAATGAAGGCTGGAAAACTGCAGAGATTATATTGACATTTCTAGCAAGCTGCAGAAAGAACCTAATATCACTTATGATGCAATTAATAGAAAAATGATCTAAATTAATTAAATTAACAAAAACAGGATCAACACTGAGGTGAGAGAGGACTGCAACAAGCTGCAATTTAATTTATTCCAGAAGCAGGAAAGTACTCCAGAGGAGACCAGAGCGTGTTTGTACCTGTGCAATGCCGATGGAGAAGGCACTGGGCGACAGCAGGCACAGAAGCCACACCAGCGGCTGTGGGAAATCCTTCACGAGGACGGTGAAGAGCGACAAGCAGCCAAACACCACCGTCAGCATGGATCCCACCGTGCTGGCAAACTTGGGCTTCTTAAACAGCGGAGTCAGCATGAAGGAGAAGAAGATCTGTGGAACAGAGTCAGGATATGGATGAGAGGAACGAACGTTCACTACTAACAACACAAAGGCTGGAATCAAATAGCCACAGCTATATGTTATTTCTTTATTTCTTTGCTTTCCCTCCATCCCAGCTCTACTCACTGATGATATTCCATACAGGAATATGAGGAAAAAGATGACAAGGAAGTTGCTGTTAGGAAACAACGCTGTGTACGTCGCGATGATGGCCATCAGGATGGACATGGTGGTCACCAGAGCAGCGTACAGGAGGCCCCATGATAACCTGTCAAACCACACGTACACATGAACGTGAGTTTCTTTGGTCCGAGTGTCCGAATGTGCAGCGGCAGAAGCCGTTTCTCCTCACCAGAAGGCTGTGTCGTAAAGCCCCATCATGGTCATGGTGTCTTTGAGACGATGCTCTTTCTCAGCCGCCACGTTGACGATGAGGAAGGTGACGAAGGGCGTGAAAGCCAGGACCAGGTAGATGGAGATGAGGGCGTGGGGGAACTTCTGAACCTCCACAGAGCCGGGCTGACCCATCATCACCGCCTTCAGTTCGAGCTCGCTCAACACCGAACGTTTTGTCTGCATCTGAGCACAAAAGATGATAAAAGAGTTTAAAACTTTTTTCATCTGTGGTTAACACACTGTAGCAGCTGAGCTTCAGCCTGTCTCACCTGAATAATGGCTGCGTCGATCAGAGACTGGAGGTGAATGAAGCCGGAGTACCAGTAATTTGCAGCCCTGCAGTTTACAGAGCTCGACAAGCAGCTGGCTGCAGGAGACGAAGCAACGACAGCAATCAAAATGTATTTGTAAAGGACCTTTGTTAAAGGTGATTCAATATAATATAAATCATAACAAATAATATACAATGACCATCAATATAGAGTAGATTAGAAAGATGAAACATCACAGCAATAAAATAACATTTAAACTAGTTTTTCAATAAAATAATACAAGGAAAGATTAAACAAAAGTAAATGATCTAAAAATCTAATATAGTAAAAATAGAATAAATATACTTTAAGTCCAAAAAACTAAATAAATGTGTAAGAATCAATATAAGTCCAGGCTAAAAGTTTGAAGATTTCAACACTTCTGTTTTAAATTTGATCATTTCTGTATGAAATATAAAACAACACCACAGCACGTCACACATCAGCTCTAAGAGGGAATCATCTCTTTTACAGTTCTGTTCATCTCTTCCTCCGCTCCATGTGTTCTTCCATCTTTTTATATTCCTTCATACCAAAAGAGCTACAAGTCAGGATCCAGAAAGCTGAAGCATGTTTAAGGTTTAAATCGACTTTTTCTCTCCCTTCAATGTCTGATTAATGGAGAGGAAACGCTTTCAGATGTTCTGGGTGACAGCCAGATCCAGTGTTGATAGTTCCCACTTATTTTCCCTTCAACATCCTCATAATAACAATTATTAGTCCATGTTACGTTCCCCTAAGTGTCCAGGTGAAGCAGGGAGATTAACAAAAAGTGGGTTTAAAAAAAAGGAGCTAAAGGAGGCAAAACTAAAGGAAAACCCAGAAGTTGGCCACTAAACAAAATAATAAGTCACCAACGCCCAACGTAAGCAGCCTTTAACCCTTTAAAAAAAACAAAAAAAACAAACTCCAGCAGTAGAAGGGCGGCACCTACAGATGGAGAAAGAGCAAGACGCACTCACCAGGGCAAAAAAGAATAAGTACCAATCACAGCAGAGCATTGCTGCGCCCTGCCAGGGCTACAATGATAACTCATTTAAGGATTTTACCACCAAGATCATGTGCAATGCCCCCACTGACTGCTGTTTCTTTTAAACCAGCACGAGTACTTTAAACGATTCATTATGGAGGTTTTTTTTTACACCAAAGGACTCTTTCAAAGGCAGTTAGCAGCACATCTGAAGATGTATGCAAGTCTACAACACAAATGAGCTTCTGATCTGTCACTGTGAGGGAAGTGTAGAAACTTTGCACCCATTTAAAATAAAGTTGAGCCAATCCATAAAAATAAAGCGGGAGAAAGTATAATAGTTTCAATAATTAGGCTTTACCAATAGACTCTGTGTAGTCACTGGGTAAAGGCAGCTGGTTGTGCGGGAAACGGAGTTTGTAAGATGTGGCCGAGCTGTCCATGAACACGACGCCAACGTAGCTGGAGGGCTCGTAGAGGCTGGCGTTCTCCAGATCCTCCTCACTGGAGAACATCTCCAGACGATCCTGCATAACTGAAGGAGGAGAAAAAATGCTCGGTTTGCTCTTTTCGAACCCTCTGCACAAACCTAACGGACACAGAACCCCGCAGATGGTTTTCAGACTTACGCATATTCTGAGCCACCTCTTCCATGATGTAAGTGGTGATGTTACTGATTGGTGTGTAGCCGAGGCCTTTGAAGAAGTGGCTGTCACTCTCCAGCTCCGTCGTGCTGATGCCGCCATAGTAAACATGAGGGTTCAGGGTGCTGATGAGTATCAGGAGCCCCAACAGGAGCAGAGGGAGGATCAATTCCTGCACAGACAGGGACACAGAAGGAATGTGAATAGTTTGCTCAGTAAACCCTGATATCCCCCAGGTCAGATCAGATATAGCATCGTCTCTTAAATAGGTTTTCTTGTGTATGTCCAAAGCATTACAACCCAAAGTTGGTGAAAATTCATGCTCTGTGGGACAGGAAATGAATTTACAGGTACATTTTAGTGAGAAAAAACATTGCTTTCACTGATGACTGCATGCACGCAGCGGCTCTAACTGCAAAACCAAACCGCGAGATAAAAAAAGAAAAAAATTATATTCCTATTGATAAACAACCTGTAAGGCTGAACTCAGAGGGGGGCATGTCAAGAGTTTGAGGCTTGTGGTAGACAGTACCAGAGAAGAGAGATGATTATGTAGTGTGAAGCATGTTCTAGGTAATTTGGCATCATCTGTGTACAAAACTCAACCTAAATATGGTGTCAACATTTTCTTCTCCCAACTAAAGCTCAAGTTTCCTGTTGAACAACTCCACTTCTCACAAAAACACTGCAACAGATTACTAGATTCTAAAAATGTAGAACAAATCCAGTCTTTGGGGTAACGGCGGGTCTGTGAGTGAAATAAACAGGCTGTATTATTCACAGCGGAGCTTAGGGCGGCCCTGACTGCTGTTGAAGATGGAGGCGGTCCCAGAGAGCTCCAAGTCAAAAGAAAAGCTGATACACAGGCACATAAAAAATGCATAGACGCAACTTAAAGCTGAATAAAAAATGCATGTTCTAACAAAGCAGAAATAGAAAGCAGAAAGAAGCAATGGAGCGGCTTCAACTTTTAGCACACAGGCGTAAAAACACGACCTTTTCAATGACTTAGTGACACAAGCCGAGACTTCCCCAGAAACCAGAACACACCTCGACATCAGGCTGCTAGATTATGGTAAAAATCGCATGTTTCAGAAACTCTGGAAACATTAGTTATTTATTGGATTTATGGTAAATGGCCTGTATTTATATAGCGCTTTACTAGTCCCTAAGGACCCCAAAGCGCTTTACATATCCAGTCACACACACATTCACACACTGGTGATGGCAGCCACATTTAAATAAAATGTTTCTGCACCTGCAGGCTCTGCTGCTTGGTCCTCCATTTGATGAGCAGATTCTTGTAGAGAAGACTTCTCGTTTGGTTCCAGACTCCAGCGTCTCTTCTGTACATGGGCTGCATGCTCCCAGCATTCCTCATGTGGATAACGTACGGATGAGAGGTCCTCTCACTAATCCTGGCCTCAGCTGCAAGGGACATAGATGGCAGAGAATAAATTAAAAGCCCCGGACATTATGCACTCGAGCAGGAGGACTTAAGACAGTGAATCAACACAGCAATCATCAGTTAGGTCTGCAGTTATCCCGCAGACTAACTGATGCTTTATTTCCCTCTACCATCTTAAAGGCTGCTTTGCTTTGTGATGATGAAAGGATTAATATTAAACTTTCAGCTCGTTCTGACTCCAAACTGCTGCAAAAAATATTAACAAATTCTCAGGGGGAGGATTCATTTATGTGACCTGGAGGCAGTTACTTTAAGGATGTCTGTTCAAACTGCAACATATTCTGATGATTTAGGTTTCCCGAACTTTGTTTAAATTTTGGATGTTTTACCATCTAACTCTTGATTTTCTTTATGAATGTAAAATCCAGTGACGTGGTGTTTATGTGTTCGTTACGTTACTGGTCTGCACAAATACTGCTGACTGAAGTGCTGCCTATCTGGGTCTTTTACAAAAGATTTCTGACAACAAGAGCATCATGTTGGTGGTTACAAATATATAGTTATAGGAAATTTTTTATTTTATTTTTTGCCTGGCTGATTCATACAATAAACTTTCATTTTAAGGACTTTCCGCTCTGCTTAGAGTTTGCTGCAGTAATATATAGTATTACATATTAGTTAACTAACCGAGACCCAGTATCGGTGTATACAGGTGTACTATGACACCTGTCAGAAGTTTCTAATAAAGCAAATTAAACCCGCTTTCCTTGTTTTCGCCAACAGCGCTCCGATGTTAGCTACAACTGGCGCTAACCTGCTACCTGCTGATATTTCCATATGCTAAAGAAGAAGAAAAAAATCAATAGACATTAGCGTCGCCGCTTCGTCCTCACCCGGACCGGAAAACAGGACAGGTGTAGGCAGCTGAGTGAGCTAGCCTCTTCACAGAATTAACCGCGGCTGATTGAGTGTATTTTTCTAATCTGACGCGCTGAATGGCAACACAGGCACACGGAGCAGCATCGAGCTAACAGGCTACAGCTGCCAGCGTGTGTACGCCGGGCTAAAAACACGTCCGCTCCAGAAAAACAAGCACAGCATACTCACGTATGAAATACATTAAGACATATCCTTCCTCAGCTCGCGATTTAACGGCATTACATTACAGATTTTATTTTGTAAGTATCAGGTAAACACCCCCTTAAACGAGCTGGTTTCTTGCGTCTCTACTTCCTTCTGTCAGATGCAACGCCCCGAAATGTGATGTCGGCCAATCAGATTTGGCCTCGGTGATGCTGACGCAAGTCTGCGCCAATCAGAATGCAGCAGCAGGCATTTATTTTCATTTCACAAACAGAGCATGTCGTTTGATAAATGAAGCGAACAAATTTCTCTTGTTTGGGGAAATTTTCACTTTAATTAGAAAAATAATTTTATTAAATCATAGCATTAATGCCAAAGGCTTAGCCATAAAATTTATTACAAATCACAAGTACAATACAATTTCTAGAAAGTAACAGGTGAAGTAAGCTACGGATAGATGACAGATTAAAGGAAAAAAACACCCCGTAATTCTTCACGCCTGCAGTGCGTAGACTCGTACGAGCCATCTACTCGTCCCCGTACAGCTTTTGATGATCTGGTGCCAATAAAACGGAGGAAGAATATGAATGAGTTTGGATAATTACATCTATTTGTATGATATATATTTCTTGGCTGCTTTGTTATTTTAACCACTAGTGAGCTGTTTATTGACACTAGCTGTACTTCCTGCACAAAAAGGGGAGGGATCACTGCAAATCAATACAACGTTTGTCTATGTGATTTATCCTTATGTATGCTCTCTTCCAGAGTGAGAATTCCCCTCATCCATAGGGCACAAGGGTCACTGAAGAATATGAAAATGGTGTGAATCACACGTGTGCAGTCTCAACATTTCAATCCAAATGAACGCCTGTGGGAAATGTTTGACCATTAGACGGTCCTCTCCAACATCATCAAAACATATGAGGGAATATCTTTTGGAAGAATAGTGTCCAGCGCTCCAGTGACTTTCCAGACATTTCAAGAATAAACATAAAGGAGCAGTAGTGCTGTTCTGGTGGTCCAACACCTTAGTAAGAGGCTTTTTGGTTTTTCTATTAATTTGTCCCTCTTCTGTACCTGACATTCTTCTGTTTAAACCTCCAATCCATCCATACTCCAAATAGGAATGTGCATAAAATGATGAACCAGACTTGAATATTTGCATTTAATGGAATAATATGGATTCTTGGGTTTGAACATAAGACACCGATGTGGTCATAGAACATGTCTGTGCTGGTGTGTATTGCGATGTTCCTCGATTCGCTGTAAAATTGGCAATAGTGGCGCGTGTGGGTATGAAGCTTCTGGGATGTCCCTGAACTTAAGGAAATCATGAAGCAGGTTGGGGACAGGAAGCTGTTGGACGACATTGGTCCTCATCAGGATATCTGGTCCCAGCAGTGCTCTGACCTGCAGCCGGCAGATGTGGGAAAGACAGGGGACGGAGTCTGAAAGAAGGTGGAGAGAAAAGATCAATCGCTGCAGTGTTTCCACGTGCAGGTTATTTGAACTCTGCAGTGCATATTTACTGCTGTACCGAAACATGGATGTGGATCCCAGGACTTTTCTGCCACCCTTCGATCCAGAATATGTTTCAAATGGGGAGATAAAGTCGACCAGTTTACAAACTCAAGGAGGTAATTTAACACCTGGCTGTCTGCCTCTTCCAACCTACAAAGGACAGATGACACAAAGGAACAGATAATGATGATGGGTGATCAACCAGCTTTGGATCCTGACTTAAATTTAGCCGATCTCCTGTTTAAAATAATTTTCTCAGGCATATCCAGACAGCTTTAAATATGGAAGCTTTTTTTTTTTTAAGATTATTCCCCCGAAGTCCTCTTCTGGTGGGGGAAACGGCCACTGCTGGTGAGTGAAGGTAGGAAAATAAAATGAGCGCAATTAAGATGAGTGAATTTGATTTTGGCAGGCAAAAACAGGCTGATGCAAATGCTACTGTGCTAATCTTAATGTCACTAAAATTTAATTGGGATCCTCGTTTAACATCACTGACTAATAAAACCTGTTAACTGTGGGGTTTGACCTTATTTTGGCTTCTGAAGTGGGCGAGTCAGAAAGTTAGAGAACTGTTTACTTAGAACATCCTCTGTGATTTCTCCAAACAGCAGCTGTGCATGAGAGGGTGACCCTGAAACTGTGCCTGGCCAAATTAAACAAAGTCAAGCGTTTTGATTTTTAGAGGCCCAAACAGGGAACGGGGAACAAACCTATTACAGCTTGTTGATAACTAAGGAGACAGAGGTGGAGTGGCGCCTTACATGTGGGGCTGAAGCAGTAAAGATGGTTCCAGTCCTGCCTTCAGGAGAAGAGGAAGCCAGCAGCCAGCAAAATGTACTTGGTTTAGAGCCACACAGAGCATCTCGTTCAGTTCTCTCAGCTTCAGCTCAGTTTTCCCATCATGCTGCAGTACAGATTCGTCGCTGGTCACAGCCTCTGGGCGAGGTATCCACCGGTGCTCAAATATCAGCTGCAGCAGGTCTGCTTCGTCAGTGGCCAAAGCATAAATCCAATCTTCCTCATTCAACCTTGCTCCTGCAGCTATCAGCAGTTTCACCGACTCACTGAAAGAGATTTTAATATCAAACTAAAATAAACCATCTGGTTTATCTTGCAAATATGTGCAAGGTGGTAAAATCGGCATTCTTACACACCTGTAAGGTTTCTGGGGTGTGCGATACAAGGCCAGGGAGAGCGGTGAGAGGAGGCCATGGGTGTGTGAGCAGTCCTGGGCGTCTGGGCTGTAACCTTCCTTCAACAGCAATTCCACACTCTTGGTCTGATCGCTGTTAATAGCTACATACACCGGACTCACCATGCTCTCGCCACGGTCGCACGCATGATCCGTAACAGCTATGAGGCTCCTGAGGATGCTGGAGCGACAGAATATCAAAACGTCAAAAATACACAATCAGCCTTATTTTGAAAGAGGTTAATTTATGTGTCAGTACCCGATGTGACCAAACTGGGCTGCGGCGTGAATGGCAAACTGAGGCCAGTCGTGACTGCAGACCATGTTAGGGTCAGCCCCGTGGTCCAACAGGAAGTCCACACAGGCCTGGTGTCCCTCCTGAGAGGCGATGAACAGAGGTGTACTCAGATCAACTGCCTGCGTGTTCACGTTGGCACCTGAAGTGAAAGCAGGTTAAAAATGAACTGTGTAATCTATTTTACTTAATTACTTCCTAAAGAAGAGGCCAAGAGGACATGGAGCATGAGATCCTTTAACAAGGAGGAAAACAAATGTACAGCTACCATTAAAAGTAAATCATATTTACCGGCGTTAACGAGTATTTCCAGGCACCCCCTCTGTCCGTACTGTGCAGCCACAAATAACGGGGAAATCCTGTAATCATCTACTTCCTCCAGGTTGCATTTGTTAACAAGAATGCGCACGATCTCAGTGTGGCCCTTTGGGAGAAACATGATCTTAAATACAATCAGCAAACACACAAGGACCCCACAGCTAATGCTGGCAGCAGAGAGCAGGAACGTTTAAGCCCTACATTCTTCACAGTGAGCATCACAAGAAATCAATGCATCCCTGCATTCTGCTGAACTTTTATGTGCCAGTTTGCACCTTTTCTGCAGGTGTTCAAAGGTAAAAAATGAGTTCATTTATAAGTGAAATGTAATAAAAAGGTTATAACATGCACAAAGTCTCTCTCTCTCTCTGTGCCTTGCAGCCAGTCAGAAAACTTAAGGGCAATAAGGGAAAATCCCCAACAGATGTGACCATGCTTTCCTGACCGAAACCAAAAAGTCATGATCTACTGTTAAATGAAAACTGTTCGTTTAAGAGCGTGAGTGCTAATGCTAATGCCTACCTTATATGCAGCTTGGTGCAGGCAGGTCCAGCCGGACTCTGTGTGCATTCTGTTGACCTCAGCACCTTTGCTTACCAGCAGTGCTACAACATCTGTGTGCCCGTGGCTAACAGCTGGAAGCACATTTTGGGACATTCATTTGGTTAGAGGAGCTTAAAGGGTTAGACAAGCAAAAACAGAAAAAAATTAAACATCAGTGAAGCGCAGTTGTAATACCTTCATAAAGAGGACAGGACAAGTCGTTAGTGAGCTGGTTGATATCAGCGTGTGCTTTGAGGAGCAGTCGGACCACTGACAGGTGTCCACACTGCGCTGCCAGGTAACAGGCAGACTCACCCTCATGCGTCAGATGGTTCACATAAACACGACTACAGCTGGAGGAGCGTGCTGCACACAGGCGGAAACCAAAGAGGAAGAACAAAACGCAAATAAGAGAAACGCACATATAACTTTAAAACAGCTGCTGAAGTGACTGATTTATCCATTAATCATTCACATCCATCTGGAGTCCAGCAGAGAAGTAGAAGGAGTAGAAATGCCCTCAGAGGTGGGAAGTAATGAAGTACAGATACTGTGCTTCTGTACTTTACTTTACTTTACTTTGTGTGTGAATGTGTGTGTGAATGGGTGGATGACTGGATATGTAAAGCGCTTTGGGGTCCTTAGGGACTAGTAAAGCGCTATATAAATACAGGCCATTTACTTTGAATTTTACTCTCTTCATTTTAACACAAACATCTCTACTTCTTACATTTTCTAACCAGGCTGATTTTGTTTAGGTTTAACATATGTGAGCTACTATTTCCTGTCTTTGGGTACTTTCCAGACATCGAACTAATCAGACCCCAAGCAGAAGGAACAATATCCATCACCGGTGCTCGCACATGAAGAGATCAGAGAGGAAAAAAATACAGTTTGCATCATTTATTTATTCAGTATACTCTGGGATTCAATCAGGCTTAAATCAGGTTTGGGGAACTCCAGGCCTCGAGGGCCGGTGTCCTGCAGGTTTTAGATATCACGCTGGATCAACACACCTGAATCACATGATTAGTTCATTACCAGGGCTCTGGAGAACTTCAAGACATGTCGAGGAGGTCATTTAGCTATTTAAATCAGCTGTGTTGGATCGAGGACACATCTAAAACTTGCAGGACACTGACCCTTGAGGCCTGGACTTCCTCACTCCTGGCTTAAATGATATGGAACGGTATTTCTTTGGTGCAGATGCCCATAAGCTGCGGCTTGTGCTACAGAAGAGGAGGAGAGACTAACATTTTCTAATGGACATTTTAAATGCAATGTTTCTAAGAAACATCATCAAAGCCACAAACTGATTCATGCACTGGATTCCACCTTTGCACTAGCTTTATGCTGTCAATGGGAACGGCATGTAATGGAAAATATTAGGATTCTGCTCTTTTCAGTGTCAAGCTGACCTGGCTCAATGAAAGGCTCCACAGTATCAGATTCTGCCTGTCAATACAAGTACAAGTACAAGTACATCTTTTTCACAAAGAAGCATCCATGTAAATCAATAAAACGACAGCTCATGTAACATCAGCTCATATCCTGCTGGATAAATCCATAAAGAGGAGCAGGACGGGCCGGCTGATGACAGGCTGTGCACAAAATCTGTAAAATCCCACTTTAACCCTTCACCATAGTCATCTTACTGTTTGGGTTTCACGACAAAGTCACACATCTAAAGTGCAGTCAGCAGCAAAGAGAGCTTTTTAAATTCCCTTTCTTTTTTTGTTCAGCATATCAGGAGTTCAAGCTGAGTTAATTTATTAGAATTTGAATTTAAGTTGAAATAAAGTTTGTATAAATAATATTTTATTATAATATTAATATGGAAGGTGGAAGTTTGAGCACATATCAGAGTGTGTACTTTTTCACCTTTACTTGAGTAAAGAAGTACTTGTGTAATGTACTTGAGTAGTCCCGACCTGTCGTCCATCTGAAATACCACATCGAGCAACAATGTGAAAGCACTTTGCTTTTCAAAGGTTTGGCAGTTGTTAAATGTTTTTTGAACTAAACATGCTGCTGTCCTAAAAATGCAAAATGAGCATGTATTTATGAAAAAGCAATAAATAATCTCAGTTTTCACTTTCTATCAAGTGAAAGCTCCCTGGTTCGATCCCGGGAGTAGACACGCATCCCAGGTACATCTGCCAGTCAAACATAGTATGACTGTAATGGGCCCAAACATATTGTGTTACTGTGTGAGAACATCAGGAGTGGCAGAGAAGTATGTGAGGCTGGTGCAAGACATGTTAGAGGGCAGTGAGACAGTGGTGGAGGAGGGTAGGAGTGACAGATGGGTTGAAGGTGAGGGTGGGATAAGATCCGGGATTGGCTCTGAGCCCCTTCTTGTTTGGAGCGACGGGGACTGTTGGACACTAGGGTCTCCTCTAACTTTGCATCCAACGTTAGACAGGCAAGGCTGAGACCTTTCGGACATGTGCAGAGGACGGACAGTGGCCAAAGGATGCAGAAGATGGAGGTGCCAGGCAGGAAGAAAAGAGGAAGACCTCAGAGGAGGTTCATGTGAAGGAGGACATGAAGAGGGTTGGTGTGACAGAGGAGGATGCTGGGATAGGGTGAGACGAAGGAAGGCAGATGATCCGCCTTTGGAGACACCTAAAAGAAGTAGTACTGGATACCTGTGCAGCAGCCTCTCTTACCTCTGACAGCTGACAGGATTTCCTGGACGCACACTTTGCTGCCAGCTGCCGCCGCCTCGTGCAGGGGGGTCCAGCCTCGGTTGTCCCGACAGTCCACACTGCAGCCTCTCTGAATCAGCGTCCTCAGCCGCCTAGTGCAGCCTGAGCGAGCAGCAGCGGCCACACTGGACACCGTGTCTCGGTAGCACTCAGTGAAGTCCATGCCCAGGTTCACAGAGACATTCGTTACTTTAACTCCAACAAGGATTAACAGTCAAAACACAACCTCAGAGTTACTCTGGATGATTTTACACAACCCGACGTACACGTTTCTGTTGGGTCCGGAAAAGTTTTTAATTTAAATCAAGAAATAAACGTGTCTTTAGTTACCAAACAGACGTTAGGAACGGAACAACAGCATTCCGAGCGGCGCCTGTTGATGACGTCACACCACAACAATCCTACGATCCAGCGTCGCGTGTCAGCTGTAGCTTCAGCTAATCGTTTAGCCGTTAGTTGTTGCTAAAATTAGCAGATTTTCAGACATGTTTGGAGAAACGTGAAGAAGAAGAGCCTGGAAGCTTCTTCTCAGCGGGTTCAGGAGGCACTCTGAAGGTAAACGCGCTTTATTTCCCGTCACAGCGAGACGTTCACAGAGTTACTGCAGCTGTAGCAAAGAATCGGATGTGACAACATACAACCGATCAGTACTGTGTGTACTCCTGCACTACACGTCATTCAGAGTAACATTTGTGCCTGTAATTTAAAACAAACTGTCAGAAATCAAACTTATCACATATTCATCATTCATCATCATATTCATTTAAATCTGAAATCTGGCCCACCTGACTAACTGTGGACCAGGGAGACCAGCGGTCCCGCTTTGTGTGGGACTGCACAGCATTTCTATTACTTAAAGTAGAAAAAGAATGATCATAAAAGCAAACTTTAGTTGAAATAAAAGTTTACAGAGAGTAAAAACAAAATGACGAGTCATATCTTAAGATTTGGGACAGAGTTGTTAAAGCTAGGTTAGGCAGCGACGTGATGATCGGTGAGCAGCAGTATGGTTTCATGCTGAGAAAGAACTCCAGAGATGTGATGTTTGAGTTTACTGATGGAGAAATATAGAGAAGGTCATAAGGAGCTTCACTCTTTATTTATGGATCAGCGAAAGCGGAAAATAGTGCGTCAAAAGAGGAACTTTGGCACTCTGGCAGAGAACAGTGGTGAGGTGTGCAGTAAGAGAGACAGGTGGGCTGAGGGTGGGATTACACCAGTGATCTGCTCTGAGCTCCTTTGCAGTAGTGATGGACAGGCTGACAGATGAGGTCAGACAGCAGTGTTTGTCGATTATGATGTTTGCAGACGACACTGTGATCCGCAGTTAGACGAGGGAGCTGGAAGAAGCGAGAAAGAATACATGCATGAATGAGAGGGAGACAGGTGGAAGAGGCTGAGTGAGTGGATGAGTTTAAATACCTAGGGTCAACCATACAAGCAACGGACAGTGCACAAGAAGAAGATGGAGACAAAAAGACAACACGAGCAAAACATGTTAAGATTTTCACTGGAAGTGACAAAGATGGACAAGATTAGAAATGAGTACATCAGAGGGACAGCTGAGGCTGAGCGGTCTGGAGACAGAGAGAGTGAGGCTGGGATGGTTTGGATGTGTGCAGAGGAAGGATCGTGGATATATTGGAGCTGCAGCTCCAGTATATCCACTATCTTTGCCAAAGACAAAAGCACATGACTCTTATTGTTTCTGTCTTACAGTGGCTTTATTCAGTCTTTAATCTTGTCTTGAATCTGTAACCTGTTCTCCTAATTGTTTCCAATTTTGTATCCTAGGTCGTTGGCTCAAAGGTTACAGCAAGCCGCAGCATTATGGTGGACATCTCTGTGAAAAGTGAAGCTGCTTGGGTCTGTCACACTCAGGGGCGTCACCTGGCTGACGTCGTTCTTCCTGTTCACATCAATAACACGGCCAAAGAAGAAGATGAAGTCAGTGAGTTGGACAGAGAAGAAACTCACTGGTAAGAAGCTTCTAGCTGATATTAAGAAGCAGTTAGTGCTATAATCAATAGGCAGTTGCAATTAATCTTTGTCTATTCGCACAGAAGGCAAAGATGAGAAGTGGATTTTCCTTTTATTTAAGTGAATGGTAAATTTCCCACTTATCTGCCACACACAGTGGTGATCCAGTGCTGCTAGAGCAGATGGAGGAAGGGTCTCCTTGTGTCCTGAAGTTCCACTGCAACCCCAGCTTACCTGCCACCATCAGCCGCCTGCTCGTTATAAGTGAGGCTCGAACCATGGAGGTTTACAGCCAGACCGGAGAGTACTGTGGGACTGTACGGGGATCGAAGGACGACAGCATCCAGCTAGACAGGTACACAGGCTGCACAGGTCAGAAGAGCCAATGAGCAAAGGGTCTTCGGTCTTCAGATAAAGACGCTGCTGATTGTCTGATGTTAAGAAGTGATGCTTCTTCTTTTGTTTGTGAATCACAGTGCTGACAGAGGGCCTTTCTATAAGAAGCAGCTGATCATTGAGGAGCCATCCTCTGCCTGTGAAGTGAAGGTAAAACAGAACATTTTAATTTATGCAGTTTGTTACACAGTCGTGTTTGTATGAGAATCTAACGAGCTGCTTCTCTCCCAGTTACTCTCCCTGGCAGGTAGGAGCAGTGTTATGGTGGCTAAAGTCATCGTGAGTCTTCAGCTGCTGCAGTCCTGCCCAGCCCCAAACCCGGGCATAGACATGCAGCGAGTGCAGTGTCTGATGGAGGAGATGGGAACAAGCCTGTCGCCAGGAGCTCAGAATCTCATGGAAATGGTGCAGTTCCAGCAGAAGGTAAATTAGCTCAGAGATGCTCTCTCTGACATTTATAATGTGGGTGTTTCCTGCTGATGAGAGTATGCCTTATGGATTTGAGTTTCTGTGTACCTCGTCAGGCCTCTGTCTCAGATCTTACTGTTACTGGAACGGCTTCTCTGAGTGTCCAAAGCATAAGAACTAACCAGACATAAAGAATGAAACAGGGACTGAAGCATGTGTTGGTGTTTGTCTCTCCAGAATCAGACCGGCTCTCTGACTGGTTTCCTGCCTCTCCTGATGGGCAGTGGAGCTTTCTCTGGTTTGGGGAGAGAAGTCAGCATGTGTCCAGGAGCTGGCAATATTCTGCCTCGACCTGCAGAATTTAAGGTACAAAACCCATTTGTGCTGTTCTTTGTTCTTAGATTAGACCATTTAAAAACTCGGCCCACACCAGTTTGGTGCAGAAGAAAACAGTGAAGTGATTTTGTGAGTGTGAACAGAGCCTGAAGCAGAAAGCCTGGATTAACAAAGAAAGTTCAGAAAAACTAAACTGGCTGGAGTCTGAGGTTTGGTCTGGAGTGTCTACCAGAACTTTAATCCATTAATGCTGCCTGTTTGATGAACTCAAAGAAAAACCTTGGACCACTTCATTGATTGTGATGATCGTGTTTTTCTATTATGTGAAATGTTTGAGTGATTCTAATTGTCCGAATATAATTGTACAGAAAGAAGAAAGCTGATTGACGTTTAGAGGTTTTTATGTTTTCTTGGAACCTTTAGATGCCACAGCTATAAATTCTAATGTGATTTAAAGGTAGATAAAAAAAGAAGCCACTGTGATCAGAGGCTCTTTAGCTAAGCTCAGCTAGTCCGACTAGTTTTGTGCTACAGTATTATTTCAGATTTGTCTTGTTTACATGTATGATAAGAGAGACATCTGAAAGTCAGATTCTGGCTTTAGCTTGTTTTGTCCACATGTGCAGTGAGTGTATTTCAGCTTAAAGCAGTGAAGGAATCAGGTAATCTTCCACCAGCTGCTCAGATTCACAACTAAAGTTAAGTAAAGTCAGATATCCTTTTAGAGACTATGCACACAAATCCACCTGCATCTCTGTATGCTTCTGTCAGCTTGACGCAGATATAATGTGTGTTCAGAAGATGTTTAAACACTCTGTAAGTCAGATGTTTTTCAATGTCGCTAGCCTCTAGACAGCTTCCTGAGGCCTGCAGATGAAGATTCACAGACCCAGAACGGAGTGATGTCGGAGGGCTCCACCCCCTCCTCCGTAGACCTGCCAATGTCCAGTGTCAGCACTGATAACACTAGTAAGGATGATCATGTCTGTTATGGTCACATACATGAACATGGTAGTCACTAAGGAGTGGATTTGGGCTTTTTGTGGTAGATTTTCTAACACCTCGATAAAACCTTTTACCCGTCTCCAGCGAGTCCCAGTGAGAACGGCGGCCCGATGAGCTACACTCAGCTGACAGAGATGCTGTCGCACTTCCTGAAGGAACAGGGGGTCAACCAGGGGTTCGGCTCCGGTCCCGAGCTTCTGCCCATGCTCCAGAACGTCTGCAGTCAGGTGACCCAGCTGAGACTGGATGATGCTGCAGCACAGAAGGAGAAGATGATGAGAAACGGCACGTGGTGAGTCGAGTGTAGCGAGCACTTTTCCTACAGCAGCTCCATGTTGGAATCAGATGATTTGGCTCCACCTTGTGTTAGAAAAGAATCAGAATCAGAA